AAACAAAACAAAAGTCAGAACTGCTTGGTATTGGTATAATGACAGACACATTGTCCAATGGAATAGAATTGAGAATCCAGAAATAGATCCATCAACCTATAGTCAGCTGATTTTTGACAAGGGCCGAAATCCATTAAATGAGGAAGAGAATGTCTGTTTAATAAAAGGTGCTGGCAAAACTGGATATCCAGTTGCAGAAAAATTAAACAAGATCTGTACCTCATACCATACACAAAAACTAACTCCAGATGGAGCAAAGACTTAAATGTGAAACCTCAAATTATAGAGTTACTCAGGGAAAAACTAGGAGCAAATTTAGAGCCTGTAATATATGGCATAGGAGCTCTGGTGGCATAGTGCCCAAGGCATTTGACTACTAACCAGAAGGCTGGCAGTTCAAACCCACCAGCCACTCCTCAGAAGGAAGATGAGGCAATCTACTTCTGTAGTGATGGAATCCCAAGGAGAGGTCACTATGAGTCAGATCTGACTCGATAGTGGTGAATTAGGTTTGATTTAATATATGGCATAAACAGACTATCAAGCATAACCCAAAATACACAAATAGCAGAAGAGATTAATGAGACCTTCTGAAAATTAAATTTTTATGTGCTTTCCAGAGGCTTCTCCAAAAGAGTCAAAAGAGAACCTACAGATTGGGAAAAAATATTCAGCAGTGACATATTTGACAAGGGACTTACCTCTATAATTTATAGAAAACTCCAACACCTCAACAACAAAAAGACCAATAATCCAATTAAAAAATGGGCAGAAGATATGAACAGACACTTCACCAAAGAGGATATTCAGACATCCAAAAAACATATGAAGAGATGCTCATGATCATTAGCCATTGTTGTTGTTGTTATGTGCCGTCAAGTCGGCCCCGACTCATAGCAACCCCTCCTTGAGTTTCCAAAGCAGTATCAGTACAGAAGTAGGATTGCCCAACCTTCCTTCCGAGGAGTGGCTGGTGGGTTTGAACCGCCAGCCTTCTGGTAAGCAGTCAAGTGCCTTAGGCACTATGCTACCATTAGCCATTGTTGTTGTTGTTGTTATGTGCCGTCGAGTCAGCCCTGACTCATAGCGACCCCTCCTTGGGTTTCCGAGGCAGTATCACTACGGAAGTAGGATTGCCCAACCTTCCTTCCGAGGAGTGGCTGGTGGGTTTGAACCGCCAGCCTTCTGGTTAGCAGTCAAGTGTCTTAGCCACTATGCTACCAGAGCTCCTCCATTAGCCATTAGAGAGATGCAAATCAAAAGAACAATGAGATACTATCTTGCCCCAGCACTAGTAGCAAAGTTCAACAAGACAGAAAATAATAAATGCTGGTGAGGATGCAGAGAGATTTGGACTCTAATACACTGCTGGTGGAACTATAAAATGATACAATCACTGTGGAAAGCAGTATGGTGATTCCTTAAAAAGTTGGAACTAGAAATACCATTTGGACCAGTCATTCAATTGTTATGTATATATCCTAAAGAAGTGAGAGCCGGGACAAGAACAGATATTTGCACACCCATGTTCATCACAGAACTATTTACAATAGCCAAAAGATGGAAACAACCTAGTTGTCCATCAACTGAAGAATGGATAACCAAACTCTGGGACATACACACAATGGAATACTGTGCAACTCTAAAGAATAACATAGAATCTGCAAAACACCACATAATGTGGGTGAATGTAGAGGACATCTTGCTGAACGAAATAAGTCAATCAGAGAAGGACAAATACTGAATTAGTCCATTGTTGTAAAAAGTCAAGGAAAGGTTTACATATGGAAGGAAATTTTCTTTGTTGGTTACCAGGGGTGGGAGGAGAGGGGAAGGAACACTATTAGATAGGTAGAGACAAGTATTGATTTGAGTGAAGAGAAGGGTAACGTACCAAATGTGAGTCACCAACACGGTGGCATTGAGTAAGAGGAAGACAGAGAGAGGTGCATGGGAGGTATAGACAACAAAGAGGAACCCTTTTGCACATACAGTACTGTGTTATCAGTGAAGGCAAACATGGATATATGGTGGATAGATGGGTGGACAGGTATGTCTGTGAAGGGGAGAGTGTGTCCAAGACCATGTATAGGGTTGGCAGACAATGTTTCTACAAGTGTATTTGTATATTCTGTAAGAATTCCCAGGTGTATAGTAGAGCTGACAAGGGACAAGGTAGTAGTCACTGCTTGGTCACAGCCAGCTACCCAGAGGGAGCGAGTAGTTGGACCTGCTTGCTCTGGACCATAGTTGCAGGGGACATCAAGGTCAATTGGCATAACATATTACACAAAACATTGTTCCGCATCCTAAATCCTCCATGAGATACATAGACACAGTTGCCGCAACAGTGGACTTCATCACAGCAGCTGTGTTGAAGATGGTGTAGGACTGGGTAGCATTTTGTTCTGTGGTACATATGGTCACTATGAGTTGGAACCAACTCATTAGCACCTAAAAACAATGAAAATTGTTCTGGACCTTTACATATTTTTCCTTTGCCTGTTGGCACAATGTTAAAATTTCTGAGTAGAGGGATGTTAGAAAGACGTTGCAGGAGGTAAAAAGGTTTTTGTTACTGGTTCCTTGTACTCCTCTCATCAGGCTCCTGCAGTGCATATTGCATGGGGGTGTGTGTTTGTGGCAGGCAGTGGTACCTGGAGGCTAGTATTTCTACCTTCAGAGCTTTTATAGCCCAGTGCCTCCAGTGAATCCCAGCAGCTTCCCCCAGAACCGCAGAGGGCAAATTTCTAGAAAATTCCAGAGAGTATGGGACCACAGCAAATTCTCTGCCATTCAGTGATGGGAGCTTTTCCTGGGATGCCCTGTCTCAGCCCCAGGGGAAGTGGCTGCTCCTTAAATGTGCTGTTTTCCTAGTCTTTAGATTTTAGTTGTTGACTTGTTAATCCCTTGTTACTCCCGATCTTTACATTTAGTTATTAATTCTTTACATTTAAACTTTCCCTGTTCAAACTGTGTGGTTTCTCTTTCCATATTGGATCCAGACAAGAAGAAAAATAACACAATAGTAAATGCTAAACTTTTACTCTGAAAGTATACATGGAACAATGTGTTTATATAAACTGTTACAGTCTGCAGGGGCTAAATGAAAAACGGTTCTCTTCTCTCAAGGTCTGAAACAATTGTGAAGCAAGACCAAAACATTTACCTTTATTACTAACAAAAGCCAGGTAAAGAGCATGGTTTAAGTGTGTATGTAGTATTAATGGAATTTCTAATACTGAACCCCTGAATTACAGACTTGCCTTCCCAGGAGCAAGCAATGGTGAATCAGGATAGGCCTCTTTCAGAAAGGGTGTGTTATTGCCTGCTTACTACATGGATGTGAGCAGCTGAGAGCACATTTGCTGCAGGCAGACTGTTCCCAAGAGGGAAGGAGGAGGAACTAGGCCTCACAAGCAGTGGCGTGTCACTAGGTTCGTGTCACCCACTGCAACAACTCATGTCACCCCCCCCCAACACCTTCCCATATAAGAATGTACAGAATCCTTAGTAATGTTTATTATCAATTTTGATCATAGACTAGTATGTGATGTATTTGTAAATTGCTTTAAATGAAATATTTCTTTGATTATATGAATACTAACAACAAAATTGTTTGTAAAATCTACCTTGAATTACCACTTTGTTAGTTACAATATTATTAGCAACTGAAAAAAAAAAAAGACATTGTTCCACATCCTATTTTGCCGAGTAGTGACTGGGATCTCAAAAGCTTGCAAGCGGCCATCTAGAGGCAACAATGTGTCTCTCATCAAGAGCAAAGAAGAATGAAGAAAACCAAAATTCATGGAAACAGTTAGTCTTAGCGACTGGTACATCATGTGATCCTTAGCTTTTATGACTATGAGACCAGAAGAACTAGATGGTGCCCAGCTACCACTGTCAACCACTTGGAGGGGGATCTATGTAGGAGTTCCAAGATAGAGAGGGAGAATAATGTGGAATAAAACTCAAAATCATTAAAAAAAAAAGGACCAGGTGGTCTGGTGTGATCGAGCCTGATAGAACCACTGAGACTATGGCCCCTAGCTACCCTTCAGGTCTGGAATTGAATCCACTCCTCTGGCTTCCAGCCAAACAAAAGACAGACATATGGGCTGAACATTTACATTAGGTAGATACACTGCTTGGAGAGAACAATCATGAGAGAATAGAAGTGCTGTGTATGTACAGGGAGACATCTCAGGGGGCAGGAGTGCATGGGAGGGAAGGACACAGGGAAGAGGTAACTATGGTGAGGATGTGGAAGGGGAATTGTTGCATTGTGGTAAATTGCAGTCAATATCATGAGACAAAGTATATAAGCTACTGTATGGAGAGGGAATTTGCTCTGTAAACTTAAACGTAATTTTTTTAAAAATTAGAAATGAAAGAAAAATATATTAGAAATTAACAGTGTACTAGAAGAAAAACAAGAATTAAAAAAAAGTACTACCTGTTTGCCTTCATGTACCAGTCAGGGACTTGGTTGCAAACAACAGAAATGGACTCTGGCTAAGCAGAGAAGGAATATGTCAACAGACTGTCATCTTGGAAGATGGAGAAAGCAAGACTCAGAAGAGGGCAGGAAGCAGAAGAAGCCAGGAGCAGAGGCCATATTAGCCTGGGAACCACTTTGTGGGCTCTAGTGCTACAGCTCCCCAGCACTGCCACCTCTAGTGCTTTGGCTTTACTCTGAAGAGTTCCCACTTGCCCTTGCATGTAGAAAGTCTGGTCAGGTCATTAGTTTCACTCTCAGCCCAGCTTACAGAGGGCAAGGGGGAACACCTACTCTCCTTTCTCCCCTGTATATGGGAGATAGAACAACAAAGAAGGAGGCCTCTTCAATGGGAAAGCTACTTTGGTGTTGGGGACCCCTCTAAAAGGCAAATATTTACTACTGTATTGTAAGACACATGAGTTACCATTTTTTAATGCATTGGAACCTGTTCTTACTGTTTTAAAACAAGGACATATTCTTGTATTATGATTTTCAGATGGCAACAAGATTCCAGCTTCAACACTGATGGGAATTTTGCTAATGAATGATTTTAAACTTGTCATCAATAAAATAACGTATGATGTGCAGTGTCCCAAGCAAGGTAAGAATTACAGCTATCCAGCTATTAAAGTTTGCATGCTATAGGGAACATAGCTTATATAGGGAGTATAGCTTATCATGAGGAATTCTGGTGATGTGGAGCCTAAGGCATTTGTTAACCAGAAGGTTGGTAGTTCAAACCCACCAGCCATTCTGTAGAAAGATGATTGGGCAATCTACTTCTGTGGAGATTTACCACCTTGGAAACCCAGAGGGGGCTGCTATGAGTTGGAATCAACTCAATGGCAGTAAGTTTGTTTGTAAGCATTTTAACTGATCAAATGACCAAGAAGGCTTTGGAAAATTAGTGTATAAGCTTTTCTAGCAGGGGTGTAAGTGATTAGCCAAACAGAGGTTTTAGTCTTATTTGTTCTTTTTAGACTTTTAAAACTTCACATTTATACCTTGAACACTTAATTTCCAAGAGTATTTGGTGAAGAGAGGAGTGGAGCTGACAATCTTGTATTCTCATATATATATATAGTTGTACAGTTCTTAGTTTTCTTTTAGAGAGCTTTTCACCTCAAGCTATCATTCTGACCATTAGTAGTATAATTTTCGAATGTCCTTTGCTGTCATTACTTCAAATATTTCTTGTGTTCTTTTCTTTCATTTCCTGATAATTCCATTATGAATATAATTGCCTTTTGTAATTGTCTCACAGTTCTTGGAGATTCTGTACTGTGTTCATAGTGACCCCTCCTTGGGTTGCTGAGGTGGTATCACTATGGCAGTAGATTGCCCAACCTTCCTTCCGAGGAGTGGCTGGTGGGTTCAAACCGCCAGCCTTTTGGTTAGCAGTTAAATGCATTAGGCACTATGCTACCAGAGCCCCCTTGTTTGTTTTACTCTGCATTTCAGTTTCGGACATTTCTATTGACATATCTTCAACTTCACTGGTTGTTTCCTCAACTATGTCCAGCCTACTGATGAGTCCATCAAAAACATTCTTCATTTCTATTACAGTGTTTTTGATTTCTAGCATTTCTTTTTGATCCTTCCTTACATTAACCGTCTGTCCTTTCATGTTGTTCAATTTTTCCATAAGCACCATTAGCATATTAATCAGTTATTTTGAATTTCTGGTCTTACGATTCTGAAATCTCTACCATGTCTAAAGTCAGTTCTAAGGCCAGTTCTGACACTTGCTTTGTCTCTTTAGATTGTGTTTGTTACCTTGTAATTTTTTGTAGAAAACTGAAGATGATCTATCAGTTAGGAAATGAGGTAAATAACTAATGTGAAGTTTTGTTTATGGGGTTAGGAGTTAAGATTTGTTTAATGTTTGCCATGTCAGAGCCTTCAGTTTTCTTTAGTGTCCATCTTTTCATTTCTCCTGTTGTCTTTGGGTTTCCCTAGAAATGTAACAAGAGCCTGTCTTGCAGCTTTCTAGTTATAATCCATTGTTATTATACTGGAGCCCTGTTCATGTGGTAGTAAGACATTTGGGGAGGAGAGGCATTCTATAATCTTAAGATCATCTCTCCTTTTAAAAAAAAAAAAAAAAAATTGGGCCAGAGTCCCTAGAATGTAACCTTCAGAAGAGTTTCTTAGCCCTTTTTTCTCTACCCTTATGTGAGACTGGAAGACTAGAGGGGGATGGAGTTGGCTGATTGCTTCCTCACTCCATGAGGTTCTAATAAAGTTGTTTTCCTTCAGAACGGGCCTTTGTCATGAAGAATAAAATGTTCTGGACATATTTAACAATAATTATATGCCCTTCTCCATGCTGTAAATGCAAGGGTATTTTTCCTTTGATCTTCACTATTAGAACTTAGTGGGGCTCCTGTAGGTAAAACTCCTGAGTGTGAGCCCTGAGTTTTTAACTCTGAAACTAATTCGCACTAAGCCTCCATCCAACAACTGGTCGGTTACAGTTTCAAAGTTCATACCAGTATATAGCTTCCACCTGCTTCTGCCCCAGGTCAGCTGTAATTATAGACTGCTGGGGATAGGGAGAAGGAACTCATGAGTTCGTATTTTACTAAACTGATGATAACATAAATAGAAAAGTAAATAAGGAAGAGCTGTTGCTTGGAGTTAGAATGTCAAGTGCCTACTGGTAAATGTGAGAGGATTGCTGGAGTTGGAAAGTCATCATTTTAAGCCAAATTCTAGATCAGACAAGAATTATCAATGGATGCTAGCTATTGGGGGAGAGGGGTGGAAGTTAGATAAAGAAAGTAAGGATATAATTTAGAAAAAAAAAAAAAAAAATGGAGCCAGTCACAAGAACATAGATAGAAACTAGCTTGAAGGGGCTTCTACTGTCTTCCTACTCAAGACAGTTTGAAGGAATATAAAGTTCCTGCTAAGATATCAACTTTTATATCTAGTGAGTTCCTAACTCTCTACAAGATCTTCTATTTCCTGTTCTCTAACTATGTTGAGCATTTGAGAGAACAAGTGGAAAAAAAAAAATTTCAGAGCATCTCATTGTTGTTTTATATGACCTTCCTCTCCCTGACACTTCAACATGGAATATAAACCCTAGCTCCAAGAAAAAATTTGCACTGGACAGTGCAAGGGTGATTTCATTTGAAAAGGATTACTGTAAAAGACTAAGGAAAGGTTGGAGAAAGAAGGAACATTGCAATAGGTGGGAGCCATTACAATGTGCAGAAAGAGGTCAGAACTTTCTGAGCTCCTACTCCACTGAAGTAGAGGTTGGGAAGGGTTTTAAAGGCTGATGTGTGTTAGTGGAAAAATACTGATGTAAAGAAGGTAATTGGGGGAGGTTAAGCAATGGTGTCTGCCATCCACATGGAGTTTTCTCCATGTGGAGTTTACTGTTAAGGGTAGATAGAATATGTTCCATCTAGAGTCTGTAAGGGTCAGGGAGAGAGAGAGGTCAGAGGCCTAGAGTTAGGAAGATACCTGCCTAAAATTTAGTCAAACTGAGGGGAATGTTCATGATGTGTTGGTCAGTCTGTTTCCTGACAACGAAAGGAAATCACAAGACTAGGGTAAAATCCAACATTGTCATGAGTTAAAGCACAGCCTCCCAGCTCCTGCAAGCTCATTAGAAAGAGACTCCTCTCCCTGGAGAAGTTGTTTGCTTGGATTGAACGCTAGGGGCAGAGAACCCTAAAGACATAGGCTGAGGAACTGTCTCCCTGTCCACAGGGTTAGAAGGGACTTCACTGAGCGTAGAAACAGTAATAAACGGGCACAGTAGGCATGGCTGGAAGCAAAATGAGAAGAAAACTGTACTGGGTTAAACATGAAATTTATGAAAGTATAAATTTGGAATTTATTTATTTAAATTCTTTAATTCTTTTCTTTCCTAAAATAACGACAAAGTTTACTTTGAAGGTGTAGGGTAGAAAAAACAAAAGCCACATGGAAGACGTATATAAGGATTAAGCAGTTTGTAAAGACAAAGAAGACTAATTGCCTCTAAATTTTAGCCTTTGTTAGGAGATAGACGCCCCAGATATGAAATGAAACTGATGAATTCTATGGTGCCCACATATTTCTGAAAGAGTATAGTTTAGGAGGGTTTTATTGAACTCAGATAAACTTTTTATGTCATGCCAGAGCTTTGTACGAAGTTTTGTTTCACCCATGTCTTTCTCTGGATATGTTTGGATTGAGTCGGACCCTAGGCAGTATCACTAGAGAAGTAGATTGCCCCATCTTCCTTCCAAGGAGTGGCTGGTGGGTTTGAACTGCTGGCCTTCAGGTGAGCAGTCAAGTGCCTTAGGCACTACGCTACCAGAGCGTCTTTCTGACTTTTTAAATATCAGTACTTTTTTTTAATGAGGAATCTGACTCTTCATATCTCAGATACTGTGTAAACCCCCAGAAGTCTAGACAGAAGTGCTTAGTTTTCACTTCTTTATGGCAATTTTAGCCTAGAATATGGAAAGGTTTTAAAGACCACAGCAAAGTCTTGAAGAACTAGGTGCAAATGGAAGAGAAAAATTATCAGGGCTACTAGCATGAGCTGGAAAATGACCAGGCTAATACTGGCCATGAGATCTTGTCTGCAGTTGTAATTTACTACTTCCTGGCAAGAAGATCCTTAACCACTTTCCTTATTCTCTTATGGAAATAGTGAAACAGTTACAACCCTCAAAAAGATATAATTATTTGTAGATCTATAAAGAGAGAATAATAAGAGAAACCCATAGTGAAAAGAACTCGTGTCAAAAACTCTGAAAGTGTGACTCTGAAAAATGTATAGAATGAACATCTTTCAGAAGTGCACATTTTATTTACTACAACTCCTCTTGTTTAAAAATATACACTTGAGTTGTTTTCGAAATGTATATTATACCTTTGTTTACATGTTTGTGTACCAGCTAACTTCCTGCCCTGTGGATCCTAGAGCAGTTTTTTGAAAGATAAATGGAGGTGAGAGGGAGAAATCTTAGATTGTATACAGGTATAAAAATGAACTCATATAAATTATTATGTCAAGACTTAAGGTAAGGTTGTTATGTTTATGTTATGTTTGGTGCTGTTGAGTCATCTCCAACTCATAGCAACCCTGTCTATGTATAGCAGAATGAAACACTGCCCGGTCCTGAGCCAGCTCCACGATCCTTGCTATACTTGAGCCCATTGCCTCAGCCACTGTGTCAATCCATCTCGTTGAGTGCCCTCCTCCCTTTTGTCAACCCTCCACCTTACCAAGCATGACATCCTTCTCCAAAGAATGGTTCCTTCAGACAACATGACCAGAATAGGTGAGACGAAGTCTGGCCATTCTCACTTCTAAGGAGCATTCCGGCTACACTTCCTCCAGGACATATTTGTTATGTCCATGATGCTGTCAGCATTCTTCACCAGAACCACAACTCAAAAGCATCAATTCTTCTTCGGAATTCCTTGTTCATTGTCCAGCTCTCACATACATATGAGGCGATTGAAAATATCATGGCTTGTGTCAGGTGCACCTTAGTCTTCAAGGAGACACCTTGGCTCCTTAGCACTTGAAAGAGATCCTTTGCAGTTGACTTGCCCAGTGCTATATGTCGTCTGATGTCCTGACTG